TGTGATGCCTCCTCCACCGTCCGTGACCCAAGGCCTCCCTGCCAGGACTCCAGTCAGCCCAGACACTGTGGGGAGCAGAGTATGGCTCCCAGTGGTGGCATGGCCAGTTACTGCCGGGGACACGCTGCAGTGACATGACCCTGCAGAGCCCTGGAGACCAACGGGAGTGGGTCCCCCGTCCCAGCTCCACCCGCCTTGGGCTACCTGTGTTGCTACTCAGTCTTTATGAGCCTCGGTTTCCTCATCTGCAAAGTGGGGCCTCTGGGTTCCTGCTGCACAGATAGGACATGAGACTCCAATGGGCTGGTAACTTGCAAAACTCTTGGCCCAGTGCCCAGCAACAACAATGACAACCATACTGTTATTCACGGGGAGTCCCTTCCCACTTCTCCCTGCATCGGGCACCTGAGGATTTGGTGACCAAAGGCCAGTTCTGGGCATAAAGTGTCCCCCAGGAGTCCCGCCACTGTTTCCTGCATCCCCATGGGCCCCGGGGGAAGCGCCTGAGCCCCAGCAGCTGGCTGAGCAGGGTCCCCGGCTTGGTCCAAACCCCATAGCACCATCCCTACCCCCCACCCTGCCTGCCCCGCCTGCCCTCACTTGGTCTGAGAGGCCCTAGTCCTCTGCTTCCAGCAGACCTTAGCCTTTGCCCAAGATGGGGCTGGGCTTCATTCCCATTGTCCTGCTATCAGAGGCCCATTCCAGAAGCCAGGCCCAGCCCGGGGCCCTTTGATCCTAGGGGCAGAGTGGCCCCCTGCCTGCCTGGTACCGAAACCCAGGGTCCATCTGACACCACTGCCCCTCGCCCTCTGGGGCCAAGGTTTGGAGATGCAGGGCAGGCTCAAGCCGCCCTCCTCCCCCATCCTTCCCACTGCACTTTGCCAGACCTTGGGTGTGGCTCCTGGAGGTGGGGGGGTCAGCAGACAGATGGGTCCCGGAGGGCCTTGAAGGCCGCTGCACTGTCTCTCGCATCACCTCCACCCGCCCACCCTCCCAGGCCCTGCTGGCACCCTCCTCCAAGACACCACCCCCAGGTCCCTGCCCTTCCCCCTCCGGGCACAGATCGACCTCTGGGTGTCCCCACCAGGCTGGGGGATCCCCGTGACAGCCCCGGGTCCAATTCCCCTCTGTGTTTGTCTACACGTCTGGCACCTTAGTAGGAACCCAAAATGCTTTTGTCAGGCAACGAGTAGACAAACAGAGACCTCCTGGTTTCTGGTCTGGTGACCGAGTGGTCACTCTGACGGGGACAGAAAGGAGGAGGCCCTGGAGATAGCCCTAGGTGGGGAACGGCCAGCCCGGAGCAGGAGCGGGGACATCAGGAGCAGCCGGCCAGCCCATTCATTTTCGAAGGGCCTGGGCTGGGAGCCGCGTCCCCTGGCCCCTCCTCGGGGCGTCTGCCCTCCTCTGCCCCAGAGTCCTCGTGGAAGTCCTCATTCACTCTGATCCCTCATTCGTTTTGTGGTCCTGGGCCCCTCCCAGCCCGGGACCGTGGACCCCCTCCAACTCGTGCCAGCGGTCCCCTTATCAGGGGACCAAAGGTGAGCCGGGTGCCTTCCTTATCATCTGGGCTGTCTCTTGGCCTCCGCGGGCCTCGGGAGGGTTGCGGCAGGTGTGTGTGCGGGAGCGTGTGCGTCGCTGTCCACGCGCATGCGCACAGAGATGTGAGCCCGCGGGTCGCGGCCGCAGGTGTCTCGGAGGACTGTTGCCTAGCCTACCACCGGCTCGAGAGCCTGGACTTTCTGAAGCGCGCCCTGGGGTACCAGCGCCAGGAGGTGAGCGGCAGC